AAAAAAAAAAAAGTCAAAAACGTTGACAGCATTTTGAAATATTTATAAGTCGACTATTCTCACCTCATCGCCGTTTTGAGTAACAATTATCTGTTCGCCTCCGTCGGCTTCACGTGTAATTGTTTGTTCACTATACCGACTGAAAAAGTACAATTACTGTAGGACCAAAAATCTTACAAAAATACAGCCAAATATTTCCAATCTTTTTTTAAACGCTTACCCAGGTATACCTGAACTTCTTACTCGAACGCCACGACCGATTACATCCTGCTCAGGTTGCGAATATGGCCGTCTCGAATGCCTGAAAAAGTTTATACGCTTTTCAATCAAAACAGCCATCAGCAAATATAAATCAATTAGGGATGCTTGAAGCCAAAGAGTGAAAAACTAAAAAACTGAAAAATTCAGGTGTACCTCGTGGAAAACTGATATGTTGTCGCGTACGGGCGGTGATCTTCTGGTCGATTACTGTGAAAAGAAGGCATAGGGCGCCTAGAAAAATGCGTTTTATAGAGATCTTAAACAATGCTTGTTCTCTACAAAGAACCGAAACCGTACTCGAAGTGATAAAACAAGGCAATGGAATATAAACAATAGGATCTGCAATAGTTAGCAGGCTAAACCTTCCGAACCCCGGCTGATGGAAAAAATCCGTCAACGAAATTCATAGTCAGAAAAAAAATGAACAGGCCGCAATTTACTAAAGTTTAACGACAGCTGCACTTACCCCGCCTTTTTCCCACTTCATCGCCTTTCACCAACTACTGCCGAAATGAAACAAAAGTCCTTTTTCTTTCCATGAAATTTACAGATGTTACTTAAAAAACTCCAAAAGCTTACATGGCGGTGCTGTTAAATCGACGCCTTTCAGAATCCCGTGCGATTTGCGCAGCAGCTGAAGCAGCAGCCAACCTTTCTGCGGCTTCTTTCGCTTCTCTTTCTTCTAAAAAAAAGAAAAAAAAAAGTTGTACTGAACTGCCTTAGAACGAACGAGAAAACCAAATCCTACCAGGTTTCATCCTCTTAATCACTCTTGTATTTGTTCTATCAGTAGTAAGCAAAGGAGCTGCTGCGGGAATAAACGGCCTATCCGGATGATAACTCATCCCACGAGACGATGGCCTGTACTGCACTGGTTGGCGCATGTGCATTCTTCCATTGTATTCATCTCTGTACGGATGCTGAATTACTCGAGCTGTCTCAACCTCTTCAACGATTTGCTGACCGCGAAAATCTGGTTCATCTACAATCACTGTTTCTTCGGTAACCTCCATTACTGGCCCCAAATCAGGTCTCTGTCCCTCATTATTCCTACCATTTACTCGACCTTCCACTGCTCTGGCTACTTCTACAGGGCGAGGTTCGATGCCACTTTCTAACACTTCTTCTACAATAAAACAAAAAATAAATCGAAAGATGCATCAATATATACATATGTAATATTTATGTATTGAGAATAGGTCCGTTCAAAAAATCAAAAGTAAATAAATGAATAAAGTTAGAAGTTAATAATTCCTTTGCCATAAAACTCAATACCATGCTCGACAGCTGGCGGAACGGCTGAAATTTCCGGGGCTGCACCGCTTTCCAGGACAGAAAACTGATCATTCCCATCAGATGTCAAAATATCAACGACAATTTCTTCGCTATCTTCATCCACTGCTTCCTTCTTGATAGGGTCCCGCTTCGGATGCTAAAAAAAATCGTTCACTGTGCAGCCAGTGTATTACCCGCTTTCCGAGCAAAAAGATTTATAGCTTACTGTTTGAAACAACAACTTGTCTACATGAATCCAAGAACCTCTGACACCAATTAAAACAAGCTGGTATAAAAAAGCACAGTAAACTATTTCAAAAGCAATATGCCAACAAGACACTGTTAATGATCACATTAATTCACTAGTAGAAGAGAAGGTACTTCGCCCTTTTCAACAAAGAATCACAAAAAAAGCATGAATTTTCAAGAGTAACGATAGTCCTCATGTCATTTGTAAAGGTTGCTCTGACAAATACCTTTTGCGGAAAAGGAAAGAATATATTAAAAACATGGTACTCAAAGAAAAAAACAAGCAATTACCTTTAATATCTTTTCAGTCTCCATCATCTCTTTTAACCGTAAAGTAGGCTTCCTAATTCTAGAACTCGTACGCGTGGGCATTTCTTTATCAGGTTCAGAACCACTTTTTCTAAGGTTCACATCTTGTGCATCTGTGGCTGTTTCATCAAAAACCTCCTAAACAGCAAATACTTCGAAAAAAAGGAGGAACCATTCTGATAAAGCTGACTGTGACAAAACAAAAAAAAAAAACAAATGGTTCGACATGAAAGCTTGTGGAATTTCTTCAAACCAGGTATGCAAAAAATCAAATTAAGATATGAATGTTCATGATTCCAAGCGCAAAAAAACCAAAGCCACTCCAAAAAAAAGTAAAGTAAAATAAATTAGATACAAAATAGACTAATTTTTAGTCGTCAAACAAGCGCTCATAAAAGAATGAGGAAAAAAAAATTGAATGCTTTGAAACACATGAACTACCACACTAACTTTTTCCTGCCGCCTTTCCCCCTCCTCCTGATCGTTTACAAGTTCTGAGGCTTTCCTTTTTCTTCCCTGCGCGTGAAGACCTAGGAGAAAGAATAGTTTGATAATATAAATGTCGAAGAAGTAAATATAAAGCAAAGAAAAACTTATCTG